CCTCCCCCTCACCTCCCTCTCCATCCCCCCCCCACTCCTTATGAAATTGGGGGATTATCGAGACGAGTGCCAAGAAAGGAGGACGCGTGCGAAGTTCATTTATATGTAAATTATCCAGTTGAAAAGGCAACATGTTAACGCCTTTTATTAAAATTGGCCTCGTATTATAGTTTAAACAAAGTGTCGGCTAATCTTCGAGTATTTACTGAAAGATGTATTTACTGGATGCTTACTGGTGTCACAGGGAAGACGTGATTACTGTTTATGCATTTCTGGGAAAAGTTTGTGGTCAAAGACTCTCTAAGGAGGTACTTAAACACGCGGATGTGGTGATTTAATCAGCGCAAAAAATACTTGTCGAAGGAGGCTTCAGAAATAGAATATTATGAAAATTTTATGAAAGCATTCATTTTCGAAAGCCACATAACGAGTAAAGTATTTATTTATTTCAAATGGCAGGCTTTATGATAGTTATTATTAGCCCTTTAGCTGACTTCGGGTTTCACAGAGAGGAGAAAGAGGAATATCAAAGTGATAAAAGTCGAGAGGAGGGACAGAATAATGATTAACAGTTGTGAAAGAGTCAGGCAGACACAAAGGCAGAGAAAAGGCAAGATGAGTACTGTTGAAGTGGTCGAATTTGACATACAGTGAGGGTGATGGTAGTTTGAAGTCAGAAGTCAACTTCCGGTTTATGGACTTTTATGCCGTATGAGAATACGTTGCCAAGGGTGCACCACGTGGAGGTAAGTCTATCGCGCACCCCTCAGGAGAAAAACATTTTGCAATTAAATGATAATGCGTACTTTAGGCATCAGGTAATATCGGTTAGAGACATTATCCCTATACTTTATCCGCATTTCCCTTCGCATCTCAATAAAAAGTCCCGATACACCTGGTGTCCCTTGTTGGTTGTTGCGGCTCGAAGTTGAAAGGCAGGAGAGCAACTTCTTCAGCGCTACTGAGTTGGAAATGGAAGTTATTCGCCTAGAAAGTCTCGAAAGTTGCGTTTTAAGAGAATCGAAATTGACCAACCATACACAAAATGTAAAGAAATATGTTGCTCAAAATTCAAAATGCGTTAAATTGGCTCTCATCATGACCCCATTTCTCTTTTCTGAGTAGGAAATGCCAAAATTTACCTGTATTCGATAAAATGTTGGATGCAATACTCTATTTTTGTTTTTATTTTGTCTAATTTACTAAATGTTGATTTTTTTCATTTTTAGTGTTTTGCAGTGGGTAATGGTATAAGCGTTCATTAACTCATAATCTCCTTGTTTAACTATCCGTCTTAATTTTCCATGACAATGCTCAAGGGATTATATTCGAAATCGTTTCTTTCTTCATCTTATAATCTCGGTAAAGAAAGCCCTAAATCCTAGAGATCATATGGCTTACAATGGATTCCATAAATCTCCTCAAAGGCCATCATTGGCTACAAATCCACCGTGCCCGTTTGGCGAACCAATCACACACGGGCTGGACGGACAACGCACGCACATGCAAAAATTTCCCGCCCAATCAGACATTGAGAGGCTTCAGGGGCTTTTCTCGTAGTCTTTTGGTATGTCACAAATCCCCCGAATTAATCCCTCCTTCATGCTCTTTGTGTCTTCTGGTAAGTAGGGTGTGGATTTGAGGATCAGAGGGTTAAGTTGAGGAATTAACTAAACCGAAAGCTATTGCTCCTATTTTAGGCGCTTTATACTGAATCCTTTAATCCGTGATTATTAGCTTCAATATTCCAATGCAATCGAATGGACAACAACTGCAAGATGACGAGTATTGCATGGAGAGCAATGTCTGTCTCTACGAAAACAATGCATTTTCAACGAACGTGTCGACAATAGACCCGATCTACCGAAGCATCCCATCACCGACAATTGCAAATATCCCTATGGAGAAGGCCAGTATTCAAAAGACTGACAAATTTTCAGATATGAGTAAGAGCTTGTTCCATAAGTTCTTAAATTAAGATTGAAGGGAATTGGAATGGAATCCCTTGTTGTAGTACTTCGTAAGTATCTTTCCACCTGTCAATGAAACACCAAGATATTTCTCTCAAGCTAATGAAAGAGACTATTTGATTCTAATTTTATTAACGTAATTGTGGCGAATCGTTATAGGCTCTGCTAAACTATTGCTCACAAGTTCCGAGCTTCGTAACTGCTAAGCTGGAAATCCAAGTAACGTCCAACGAGTGGTGAAAAGTTGTAAACAGTTTGAATTATGGTTATAAATTTCAGATGGAAGATAGGAGAGGAAATTTGTAAGTGGAATTGGGAAACAGGGGAAACGATCACTCCACACTCCTGAAAGTTGGTATTTCTAACTTCGCAGTATGAAGTAGAACCGATGTCATCTCTTTTAATTAAATGCATTTTTCAAATTCTTCAGGATTCGAGAGTTCTCTATTCCAGTCCATGCATGAGTTCTCATCGCAGCTTTCAGTACCACCACCATCGCTGACGTCACAAGCACATCCGCCAATGCCGATTTCATCCCAGGCACCCATCTTAACGAATCGTAGTTTCTCAAATCCGTCTCATCATCAACAACAACAACAACAACAGCAACACCAGCCAACTCTTCAGAAACCGCCCACAGTTAAGTCAGTTTCGATTTCTGGAAAGTTGGCTGACTCCAAGCATGGTGATAGTAGAAGCACTGAAAATACAGCAAACAGCAGCGATGCAAGACGTTCCGTAAATGGAGGCAAACGATCGAGAAGACAACGCACACATTTCACGAGTCAGCAACTGCATGAATTGGAGTCGACCTTCATGCGGAATAGGTATCCTGATATGAATATGCGAGAGGAGTTGGCCTCATGGACAGATTTGACGGAAGGAAGAGTTCGGGTATGCAAATAAAAAATTTGTAATTTTAAAAAATCAATAAAGTTGCGCGAAGTTAATTTGAGAAAAAATTAACCAATAGAAATGCTGTAAATTCAATTCCAGGGTTCATTTGCGTGCATATTATCTTCTTCCTATTGTATCTTAATAAAATTATAACGCTGTAGTTGACGAATATTATTTTCTGCTGTCTCGAAGTTAATATGTGATGAAGGAAAAGCATACCATACTTTTATGCCAATGAATAGATTTTGAATTCGGTGTTTCAGTAAATTAAGACTGTGTGATTGGTTTCCTGACTTAAAGTTTGAGAAATAAAATGAGATTTATTCATGATATTAGAAGGCTAGGACGTTATAAAACCGGCTCTAAATGACTTGCGGTTATGAGATGGAATTGGCTAATTTTGTTAGTTTTGTGCGTCCAGATTCACGGTTTCTCTGTTATTGTTAACTTTGGTTTAAAATTGAAAAGAAATATTGATCACTATATAAACCCCATTCCCAGATTAAATTTTAAATAGCAAATCATTTGTGTACCGCATAAATAATCCAAAGTGATACCCTCAAAGTGCCTTTCATTCAGGTATAAATTATTCACCAGTTGAGTTTCTCACATTTTTTTGAATTATCTGTTGAATAATTATAAGCAAAACACTAGTCCAAAGGTAACTTTTAAGCTGCCCCATATGATTGGTCACTTGTGCCTTAGATACTGAAACGCTTATTTGATTAGGTGTGGTTCAAAAATCGTCGAGCTAAATGGCGCAAGCGAGAACGCCACCTGGAGGCGATCCGCAACAGTTTCAATCAGCAGCAGCATCATTACTCTTCGGGCGTTTCACACCATAATCCGTTCGCTCCTCTCCTATTTCCCACCCAATCAAATCAATTCCCGGCTCCTCAACAGTATTCACAATCTCACCAACCACCATTGCACCCTCCATCGTCAGTAAACTCCCAGACGAATATTTCGGCCACAGCTGCTGCTGCAGTAGCAATGGTCGCATGGAGACAGTCTGGGAAGCCATCAAGTTCCACAAGTTTCCTATGGCCTCCGATGAGGTCAGAAGTGAGCGAGGAACCACGTCTGCTTGGAAATCCAACCCAGTCACCGTGTCTTCAACATGAATACCCTGTCTTCACACCTGATACAACAGGAAGCTTCGATATGAAATGGAAAGTCGAGGAGAATGGTATTGAGAGCGGGGAAGAAGACGATATTGAAGATGAGGACCAGGATGATGAAGAGGGAAGAGATCAAGAAGGTAGTTTGAACTTTCAGCAAAGTCCCGACTATTCATCTCAACTACGACAGCTACCGTCTTTACTGCATATTCAGCATCAACAACAGAGTCATCCGGCGTTCTACGAGTTCCGACAAAATCTCGATCACGAGGAATTTCATCACCAAATTCAACAGGGAAATCTGTTTGGAAGAATTCAGACAACGGATCAATTGCACGAAGTCAGTGGAATCCAATTCAGTCACCCCGATGGAAACATGCTTTCTTGAAGTATTATTTTCTCACTTTTTTTTTTAATTAAATATATTTAAAACTCGTTTTGTTTCCTCCACATTTTTGTTTGGCTCCATTTGTTCAATCACTTTTTTGCAAAATATTTATCACACTTTTTTGGCAAGACAATGACAATGCCATTAGCGAAGTCAATTTGAGAATTTGCCTATAGAGCAGAGTGTAATTTACATTTGCCTGTTAAAAGATAGGCAATCGAGCACTGTAGTAATACGCTGGTAATATTTTGAAGCTCCATATACTCTGGATATCGGAGTAGACTGGGAAATCTTTCAAATTTGGAGCAATTATCTCTCCTAGAAGCCATCAGGCGCGAAATCAGCGACAAATTAAGATGATTTAAACGGTAAAGGAACACAAATCGCATTAATTTCTCATTATTTATTAACCTCAAATGGCAGGCGTTTTGATAGTTACCATTAGCTTCACAGAGGAGAAGAAATATTAAAGTGAAAAAAGTCGAGGGGGGGGGAGGGAACAGAAGAGTGTTTCAAAGATATAAAAGACAGACAGAAAGGTAGAAAAAAGGTGAGGTGAGTACTGTGGAAGTAGTCGAATATGACATACAATGAGGTCACGGTAGTTTGCAGTCAGAAGTCAACTGCCAGTTAATAGACCTTTTTGTCGTATGAGTATACGTTGCCCAGGGTGCACCACGTGGAGGTTAGTCTACCGCACACCCCAATTTCTCAATATAATGCGCTGGCAAAGTAAATATTTAAAAAAATTAAATATGACACAATTTTCTGCTGAATGGTGTAAAGCCATTCATCAATTTACAAAATTTCCACTGTGGTTGTAAATACACATTTACTTTCCGAAACTCTGCATTGTTTCTGGGAAGAGGAAGAGGCTTTCCATTTTCCCGTGTGGAGGCTTCAATTTTCAACCGATTTTTGTGACTTAAACGTTACCACTTTAAGGTTTATTTATTTCAAATGGCAGCCTTTTTGATTCCTATCATTAGCCATTTAGCTGACTTCAGGCTTCACAGAGGGAAGGTTCATCAAAATAGAAGAAAGTCGAGGGGCGGGGATCAGAAGAGCGATTCACAGATGTAAAAGAGCCAGACAGACACAAAGGTAGAGAAAAAGGTAAGATGAGTACTGTGGAAGGGGTCGAATATGACAACCAGGGGGGTCGTGGTAGTTTGAAGTCAGAAGTCAACTGCCGATTAATAGACTTTTCGACGTTTGAGTATACGTTGCCCAGGGTACACCACGTGGAGGTAAGTCTATTGCACACCCCACCACTTTAAGGTAATTGTTTATAACCTGCCTGTAGATTTAGCAGATTTCAAGTGGTCTTCGTCTTCAATTGATGAAATGCCAAAACGAGTGCACCATCTTACAGCGCTAAAGTAACCTGTGAATCTCCGGACTTCGAGTAGAACCCTTTGCACATTTTGACATCATTCTTACACTCAAACAATCAATTAACAGAGAGCAGTGTCAAGTGCAGGTAGAGAATAAGTGGCCTCACACAGGATTCCACAGAGAGGCTCAAAGGCGCATTACATAATGCGGTTTATTATTCATCAAATTACTCCGAGACAGAACGAGTGAAATAAAAATTATTTAATGTCTTCTAAATCTCTCACCCTACAATGAATATGCGAATTTTTACGATAGCTTTTTACATCCATTGTATGATTGGCTTTAAGATTAAACATGTCCTTCGACTAAATGCCAACCATACGATTATATAACCCTAGCACGGTTTAACTAGCCAAACTCATGAGCTCTCGGACACTTTTGTTTGAGTAGCCGTGAAGTTGATCAGATTGGGTGGGGGGGGGGGGGGGGGCAAATGAGGTCAGAGACCCCTTGACCAATCAGGAGTCACTCAGGGTCAGCGTGCTCGACTAGGTTCTGTGCCAGTGCTTCTTATAGAGTTGACATAGCCCCCAAATATACAATCCAAATCAATTTATTCCACACCACACGCACTCCCTTCTCTATATCGTAGATGTGGCCTAACTAATTTCGGTATCTTTCCTAAACTGGGGTATTTTGTTAAATTTATCTATATGTTAGGGGTATGCGATAGACTAGCCTTCACATGGCGCACTCTGGGCAACGTATGCTCATACGGCAAAAAAGTCTATTAACTAGTGAGATGGGTGTGCGATAGACTTACCTCCACGTGGTGCACTATGGGCAACGTATACTCATACGGCAAAAAAGTCTATTAACCTGGGGCAACGTATGCTCATACGGCAAAAAAGTCTATTAATCGGCAGTTGACATCTCATACGGCAAAAAAGTCTATTAACTGACAGTTGACTTCTGACTTCAAGCTACCATGACCCCACTGCATTTCGTATTCAACCATTTCTACAGTACTCACATCACCTTTCTCTCTACCNATATATATATATATATAAAGCATATTTGGCCAGTTGGGGTGCGCGAAAGACTTACCTCCACGTGGTGCACCCTGGGCAACGTATAATCATACGGAAAAAAGTCTATTAAGCGGCAGTTTACTTCTGACTTCAAACTACCATCACCCCATTGTATGCCGTATTCGATTACTTCCACAATACTCACCTCACCTTTTTCTACCTTTGTGTTTGTCTTTAACATCTTTGAAACACTCTTCTGTCCCCCCCCCCAACCTCTCGACATTTTTTACTTTGATGTTCCTAGCCTCTGTCAAACCCGAAGTCAATTAAAGGGCTAGTGATAACTATCAAAACGCCTGCAATTTGAAATAAATGAATATATATATATACATATATCCATAGCAAATGGCAGGCTTTATGAGAGCTATCATGGGCCGGAATTTCCCTTAATCTGAGATGAATGCAAGCAGATTTGTCAAATGGTGGGTCATTCAAATGCAAACGAAATGAAGCCTTTGTCTTTGAATAACGACATCAAGCACAGTGTTCAGACAATCGCACTAAAAATTATCTTTGCTCTAATAGACTTCCACTAAAATATCTCACCCCATGAAACCTTCTATTATGGTAAGCAGGTTGCGATTGCAACTAGGGTTGGGAAATCTTCAAGCTTCGCATTTCTCTTTGACAGTTCATCTAACTTACCTCACAGTCAAAATCGAATGTTAGAAACGCTTTTGATAAAATAGACCATGTACACATTAACTGGGCATCTGTGGCTAATTAGTCAGAGGTCTCCACAGAAACTATGCGAAACTTTTCTTTTACCCAAGATTTTCTCTTAATGGGTCTCGGTAATTACTGTATTTATTCACTATACGTTTCTGAATGAAGCTTATGAGCTTTGAAAATATTCGAATTTGATGGTAACACGTCGAGAGCTCGAATTCGGATTTCACTCTTTCATACTTCGCATTTTCGTTTAACTCTTAGGCTTCCTAAAGAGCTATCGGCAACTGTCCACATTAAAGCAGATTATCGTCCACCCATTCCCTACCCCTCTTCAACCCTCCCCTCCCCTCCCCTCCCACCCCCNCCTGGGCAACGTATATTCATACGGCAAAAAAGTCTATTAACTGGCAGTTGACTTCTCACTTCAAACTATCATCACCTCACTCTATGCTATATTCGACTATTTTTACAGTACTCACCTCACATTTCATCTACCTTTGTGTTTGTCTCTTACATCTTTGAAACACTCTTCTCTTCCACCCCCCCTCTCGACTTTTTTTCAATTTGATGTTCCTTCCCCTCTGTGAAGACTGAAGTCAACTAAAGGGCTAATGATAACTATCAGAACGCCTGCCATTCGATATAAATAAATACAGTTTCAAGTGTCCCCATGGTGAATAAGAGTTAGAGATTTGTTATCGCAGTTGGAGATCTTGTGAACTATAATCTACTTTTTGTCTATTGGAGAACAAAGAACGAATATCTGCAGACAGCGTGGACAAAACCATGAATAATTTTGGTGTTAGAGTTAAAATGTGTTGGTAATGTAAGCCTACTGAGGAGAACTGCAAGTAAACAAAGTTGGTAACCTTGTCAATCAACATGAGAAGTTTTTTAGAACCCAGGCGAACATGGAATAACAGTGATTTATAAGGAAGTGAATCATATGGTATGCTCATAGGCGAAATTGAGTATTTTGGGAAGATTAGATCAAATGACAGGCGTTTTGATTGTTATCATTAGCCCTTTAGTTGACTTCAGGCTTCACAGAGGGGAAGGAGCATCAACGTGAAAAAAGTCGAGAGAGGGGGAGGGGAAACAGAAGTGTTTCAAAAACAAAGGTAGAAAAAAGGTAAGGTGAGTACTGTTAAAGTGGTGGAATACGATATACGGTGGGGTGATGGTAGTTTGAAGTGAGAAGTCAAATGCCGGTTAATAGACTTGTTTGCCGTATGAGTATACGTTTCCCAGGGTGCACTACGTGGAGGTAAGTCTATCGCACACCCCAGAGTGGAAATATAGCTCTACAAAGAATTCCTATTTTTCAGGTCTTCTTTCCTTTTGTAATCCTAACTCGAGATAGTGTCGAATATTCCCAAAGCTCCAAGTAATAGCAAAAAAACCGTTGTATGAAATTCATAAAAAAATGCGCATAACCTTCGATATAAGCCATTTGGGGAAGTGTTCGAGGTAGCCAACTTTCGTGGAGTTAAGACTATTTTAACATGGACGATGCTAGGGCTTACACAATCAACAACTAACAACTGTTTTCAAATCTGAAGGCGAGGAGTAGAGAATGCCTAAAGTATATTGCGTTCCAATAATGAAAACTCGAGAGAAAGACGGAAATTGTGAAAAGAGCGTCTACATTTTTAGCTTAGCTAACGCCGTGTCCATCCGTTTTCCAGTTAAGTTATGAAATATACTGAGGGGTTGACGATAGACTTACCTCCACGTGGTACACCCTGGGCAATGTATACTCATACGGCAAAAAGTCTATTAACCGGCGGTTGACTTCAAACTATCATCACCCCACTGTATGTCATATTCCACCACTTTCAGAGTACTCACTTGACCTTTTTTCTACCTTTGTGTTTGTCTTTTACATCTTTGAAACACTCTTCTATTCCTCCCCTCCCCCTCGACTTTTTTTCACTTCGATGTTCCTCCTCCTCCTCTCTGTGAAGCCTGAAGTCAACTAAAGTGCTAATGATAACTATCAAAACGCCTGCCATTTGATTTAAATAAATAAATGAAATATGGGGAAACAGGGGTCGAATTCGATTATTAGTGTTCTTCAACTCTCTGCCTATTGAACACAGTTAAAACGTTCGCAATAACGCGAACATGACGGTTTTTATCAAACTGAAGGAAATTTGTGTGGGTCAAAATTGTAAGAAGCTCTTATGGAATCCTTCAAGGTAACTTGGAGGCACTGTTTTGGGAAAGCTCCATTCTCTCACCTGCTTGTTAATCAGAAGCAACCGCTGGGATTGACTCTCCACACTACTTAACCCATGTGGAGAGGAGGAATTCTCGAGTGATTTGTGACTCTGAATGCCATCTTGAAGTGTNACTTCTGACTTCAAACTACCCTCACACCATAGTATGTCATATGCGACTACTTCCNTGGCTTTAAGATTAAACATGTCCTTCGACTAAATGCCAACCATACGATTATATAACCCTAGCACGGTTTAACTAGCCAAACTCATGAGCTCTCGGACACTTTTGTTTGAGTAGCCGTGAAGTTGATCAGATTGGGTGGGGGGGGGGGGGCAAATGAGGTCAGAGACCCCTTGACCAATCAGGAGTCACTCAGGGTCAGCGTGCTCGACTAGGTTCTGTGCCAGTGCTTCTTATAGAGTTGACATAGCCCCCAAATATACAATCCAAATCAATTTATTCCACACCACACGCACTCCCTTCTCTATATCGTAGATGTGGCCTAACTAATTTCGGTATCTTTCCTAAACTGGGGTATTTTGTTAAATTTATCTATATGTTAGGGGTATGCGATAGACTAGCCTTCACATGGCGCACTCTGGGCAACGTATGCTCATACGGCAAAAAAGTCTATTAACTGACAGTTGACTTCTGACTTCAAGCTACCATGACCCCACTGCATTTCGTATTCAACCATTTCTACAGTACTCACATCACCTTTCTCTCTACCTTTGTGTCTGTCTGCCTCTTTTACATCTGTGAATCGCTCTTCTGTCCCCCTCTCGTCTTTTTTTCACTTTGATGTTCCTTCCCCTCTGTGAAGCCCGAAGTCAACTAAAGTGTTAATGATAACTATCAAAACGACTGTCATTTGAAATAAATAAATAAAGTATATATATATATATATATTACTGAGAATGGGTTAAGGATGATTCGTGTTGCCGTCAGCGAAAAGCTTCTTCCCATATAATAAGCGTATTTGGTGTTAATTCAATTTATTGTTGTAAATATCTCAAAGAAAATAGAAGAAAACAGACCTTTAGAGGCTTAATAAATACCAATGGAATAAAGGAAAGAGAAGAAGACGTAAAAATTGATTCAAGTTATTTCAATTTCTTTTTGCTGGAAGGAACGCGAAACGTTAGTCGATTCTCGTAAAATTGGATGACAGCATCGGGGTACCTCGCATTGGCTTCACTGGGGCTCATAAGGAAGGGGTAGGCCACTCCAGCGCTAAAATACACCAAAAAAAGGACTCAATTACTCAACCATACAACTTGAGCAGTTCTACTTTATTTTTTAATGGCCCAAATTATTACATGTGAAGGATGAACATTAAGTCGCCATTAATTGTTGTGATTCCGAAAACGGTGACTCCACTTGTGTCAGCACCATCGTCTAAACCCAAACCAGCCTCATTACAACCCATTTGGCGTTTTTTTAGTTGGCCAACTTGAGATCTAAAAAGAGAGTGCCTTCGACTCCTACGCTGAGCTGTTGTTGGCTTCGTCTCCGGCCCAGTCGGGTTGAAGTTGCCTTCAACTTTCATTTTCCTTCTTTTAGCAAAAGATTTTTTGTTCAATTTGCCAATATTTCTCCCTCTTCTTCTACTTCTTCTTCTTCTTGCAGTATTTTTCTTTATGTCTCCTCCTGCGGTGGAATCATCGCGGACATTAGACGTCAACAAGCTTTGTGGTGATCGCGGCGGTTTCTCGCCCTTTTCCGTGTTCTCCATTCCACTGCAGCAAGGCAATGTTCCAATATTTGCCATTTCTGGATCCTTTTCACCTGGGAAATGACTTCCTCCCTCTTCTTGCTTAGTGAGAGGAACTGAGAGGAGAGAATTTCGTCGCGATATGGCAAAATACATTGTCTGATTTTCAAATTCCTCGCCTGGTAACTCGGCCCCCCTTGAATCTGAACAAGCCTTCCATTTGGGGAGATAATTAGTGCTGTCAAGTTGACTGTTTGCATCACTTTGGTGCTTTGTGGAAATTTCAACTGTTTTTCGGGTTTTATTCCTTTTTTCAAATTCTCTTAAAAGCCTTTTACAGGAGAGGTTCTCCAGTGGTTCCCACGTGCTCTCAGTTTCATCGAATCCAACCCACTTGAGTAGATACTCCTTCACTCCCTCGTGAGTACGTACATCTAAAATTTTTTCCACTTCCCATTCTATGGCAGCCATTTGAGGGGCAATCGATTTCTCACTGCAAATCTGTTGAGTCGTGGTCACTTCCGAATTCATATTTATTTTTTAAGACGGCTGTTTTAAATCACCTTTAAATTTCAGGGTCATTCAGGCCAACTTTAGGCATATAAACAATCAACTTCTAAGACCTCTACAAGAGCACAGCTTATAGATTTGAAGAAACTTAATTCCTCATGTAAGAACAGAAAATCAATCTTTTGAATATTGTAAAATAATATTTAAAAAGTACTGTGGTGTTTTGATTTTTAAAAGAATTTTGATTAATAGTGCGATAGACTTACCTCCACGTGGTGCTCCCTGGGCAACGTACACCCATAAGGCAAAAAGTCTATTAACCGGCAGTTGACTTCTCACTTCAAACTACCATGACCCGACTGTATGTCATATTCCACCACTTCCACAGAACTCATCTTAAATTTTCTCTGCCTTTGTGTCTGTCTGTCTCTTTTGCATCTATTAATAATTCTACACATTTTGAGACCTTGTCTGTTCTTCCCCTCTCTGAATTCCCGAAGTCAGCTAAAGGGCTAATGATACCTATCAAAACGCCTGCCATTGTTTTGAGTTTCAAAATCATTTTCATTAATAGTTCGAAATATTGAACATAACCAC